AGGAGCCGTCCAACTTAACGGCCGCGAAATCGCCGGGATAGACATCTCCGAAAGCGACATAGAGTATGTTTTCTGCGGCCGCGGAGCCTTGTGACCCCACGAGAACCAAATTGCCGTCCAAATCGATAGCACCATCATTGACGTTATCGTCAAGAGCGATCCAGCCGTCCCAACGCCACACCTCGTCGGAAGTGGACACAATGCCCGGCATCACCAACGTAGCAAAACCTTGCCTGCATGTGCAGAAAGGAGCGTGGAGAAAACGAGTGGCAGGGTGGCATTGTTGTTGCCACAGAAATGCTGTCTAAACGTCTGAATCGGGATGCGAGCATCAACGTATGTATCCAACATGGTGCAGAAATCGACGCGACGCGTGCTGACATCAGGAGCGCACTATAGTCTAATGTGCACTATTTTATAGCGACATTGATCGCGCTTTGTCGAAGCATGTCGCACCCCGTGTTGCCACGAATAATCCTCAATATGTAGTAGATGAGGACAATTTGGAGGGCGGGGGCAACTTGTTCTTTGAGTCTCAACGACGTAACTAGTAAAACGCGTTCCAGTACCTCGACAAAGCAATAACGGGCGAGTGAACGTGCAATATTCACTCCTTAACGAGCACATGGCACTGTGTTCAGCAACAATATGGGACACTTGAAAACGCGAAAATAGAGCCTACGGGACATTGAGCAAAAGCGTCCGAGCTTCGGCGGCACCTTGACTTTTTTCTTCGTTCCGTGTTTCGCGTCGGATTGTTTTGCTCTTCCGGCACCACGTGGGCAAAACAATCTGCCGCCGTGTCGCTCTCCAAGGACTCTTTCTATAAGTTGAACATGGCGTGTAACGAGCAACTTGGCAGAGCGGACGACTGGAACTCTACGTCGGGGCTCAGAACCTTTGGTGCCAGTCCGACGGTGGACACGAGCCTCGCATTCACCACCAGCACTGCAGCTATTAGTCGGGATCACCGCTAAGGCTGTGATCTAAGCCATTGCGATGCTTGCTAACGCGGGCCAGGACATTTGTGCAGTTGGAGCCATAGCGGGCTACATCCACGCCGGCCAAGCTATGGCGTGGAGCTTATCCTCCGCCAGCTTGCCTCTGTGGTGCTCGATGATGATAGCAGTGGATCCTGAAGCGCTGCGGCCCAGGATACGGTGGCCCTTCAGGCGCAACTGTGGCCTACCGACCAGCCCACTTTTCCATGCAATATTTCAGGGTCAGGGGGGCTTTGAGCAGACCCACGCCCGGCTCAGCGCGAAAGGAGATGGTGCCGATGGAGGTTAGAGACCGGAACCGATGGTGAAGAACTATTAAACATTGGGCCGTCCTTCACACGGCGGGGGGGCGGCCAACTATATGGCTTTCCACGAGGAGCCGTTGTCTCTGGCATTGGGAGACGCCTTTGCAGCGTATGCCCCCCCGTACGCCGCTTTAATCCCATAGCTGTATATACGAAAGTTTGGGTGACTCAACCACGCTCCAGGTCAGTGGTCGCGAAGAAGACGGGACAAGGAAAGTATGGGTGGGACCACAGGCCGGAGCTGGAGGCCTCATCCAAAAACCCAATACTTAGATTAAAATATCCTAGGCCACGAGCAATAATACAACAGAAAAATCCTGTTTGTTGTTCTTTTTCACAGAATGTTGTATTGTAAACGACGAAGAATTATTATGTGATAAAGTGAGATGGATCTAGAATGTCGATGTAGTGTTCATATCCCTTGCCTATCGTTTCAGAGCCGAATGTATCTGCCGATGAACCAAATAGTAGCACCACGAGAAACTAATCGTGAACCCCAAATCTGCAGTTTCCGGTAGATATATTATTTATTTATTTATTTTTTCTTAATATGACACAACGAAACCATCTCTATCATAGAAAAGAGTCTGAGACAGAGTAGCAATGGATTCATAGCGTCAGAAAGTACCTGTATGTCTACGATTTCCCAGACAGCATATAGGGACATACAGGTTCAACAAGACAGTAAGGAGCATTGACGGATGCTCTTCTTGTGTGCGTGTACAAGTACTCCAATGATCAGTAAATTTACCCGGATAGACTTACTACATGGTCAGACGAGATACATGGACGCCTTCATGTAGACCGAATACAAGCACGCACAGGGAGATGTCACAATGTTTTCCATTCACACCGTGGATAAGTGCTGTTCCTTGAGGTGTTCATGGTGGTGTGCGGGTTGAGGAGAATGACCTACTCTCCTGTAGAAAAAAATACTTCCAAAACACTCTCTCTTCTTCCTATTGACGACATGTTCATGGTGGTGCGCGGGTCGAGGAGAGTGACCTACTCTCCTGTAGAAAAAATGCCTCCAAAACACCCTCTCTTCTTCCCATAGTCGATGTTGAAGTCGAACGGCCCCCTCTCTTGTATGTAGGGAACAACCGCGACCGAATGAATCTCAGAATGCATCCCAGCCAACGGCGAGGTATGGTCCTGTCCATCATGGCACAACAGGGCACCCTGAACAATTCCGCATCCAGCCTCGTGAGTGACCGATATTTCGTCGTTTTTACCCCCAGTGACAACTGGGTGCTAGCCTCATTTATCCATGATGTTCGTTCGAAAGCCTGTTCTCCAAGAAGAGCGAATGCCATCTTTCGATTACTGTAGCTCCCAACAGGCGTTTGACAACGGTTACCCACGATATTGTCGCTTTGTTCACGACCTATTTAGACTGTGCTCGGATCTTGCACACAGTACCGCCCAGCTCCGTTGTAACGAAGTCGAAAGGAAGCCAGGCTAAGATTCTGAACACGAACCAAGAAAACATACGAGCCTCGGCGTCTAATTCAACACTAAATCCTTTACAATCGGCAGGTGCTCGACCTTCGCCGTATCAAGAAAGCTAGGTCGAGTTTGATCTTCAGTTCCTTGTGAAAATGACTACTCTAAAGTTACATCTTCTCTGCCACGGGGAATATCCGGGAGTGGTACACAAAAGCGTCTTCGACGAACGATCAGTCTTGACTGCAGTAGTAGTGATCGCTTAAAGACGGTGCGTGCGCTGCGTAGCGGCCGACCGATTTGGCTCGTTCTGTCGGAACGTTTTCTTGGTGGTGAGGATGCGGGCCAGTCGCTAGGCTTTGCAGGAACATGGAGAACGAAAAAGCAGAAAGACATCGATTTCACTGTGAGAAGGGGAAGTAGTACCGTAAAACGTCATCGCGTTGTGCCTTCAACTCGACACAGTCAAAGTTCCTAGGTGTAGCGGTGCCACTGCTTGCCTCGTACCTCTTTCGCCTGTTCGCGGGACGGTTTTGTGCTTTCAGTAAGTCATCGCATGCCTACGATCATGCCCAAAAATGATCGCGGAGAACCCGACAGAAAACGAGGTGAGCAAACAGGGTTATCAAACGGATTGGAGACACGTAGTCTATTCAATGTGGCACAGAGACGAATTGAGACTGTCTAGAGCCTTTCGGCTACGCCGCTCACACCAGCTACTTCAAAAGAGGCCAGAAACCAACAAGGGCCGGACTCTTGACGTTTGTGGCGAGATGCTGCTGTGTGCTCGATAAGGCTTCTAGACGCACCTACTCATTGCCATCGTGTTCCATCTGGGGCTGAAGCGAAGTCCGGCGGGTTCAGGTCCCCATAAGACGGTGGTGGTGGAAGCTCGTCAGTGGCAAAAGCTGCGTGAGTTAGAAAAAACCCCCGTTAAACTCAATGGACACCACCATCGCCCAACACGTTCTTAATCGACAATCAGGAGGGACGATTTCATTGAACATGTGTCAGCAAAGATGGGCCACGGCAGGCACGATGAAACCATTACACAACCAAGTCGACAGAACAACAGCGGACTTGCTAAATCCTTACTGACTCCTCGGCATTTCTCCCCCTAAATTGCCCACCGTAAGAACCCATGATTGATCGCCTAACAACAGATTTTTGCCCACAGTAAGAACCCATGATTGATCGTCTAACAACAGCTCTGACCTTCAGGCGGTGGCGAGTTGTAGGCCGGAGGTGCCTGGAGAGGCTGTGCTGCCGGTGGGGGCAGGGTTGTCCCAAAAGCAGGAGGTGGAGGAGGTGGAAACCCTCCCATTCTGCTCGCTGCGACCAACGAATCGAGGAAGTGCGGGTGGGGGGAAATGATACTTCATTTGCAAAGTGAATGTATGTATGTGACAGCGAACAGGTGTTCAAGCCTGGTGAGGTGCTAGTGCAATGGAGGTATTCTGTACATGACACGCTCGATGGATGGATATGGAGGGTACGCCAGACAACAGCCGAAGCAGCTCTCGAACACGCCGGGTTCACGAAATAGAATGATACAACGATTCTTTTTAGCAAGAATGACACGATGGTTCTAGCATTGAGAGCGACACGAAGAATGCGCATACCGCCGACAAAGACCTACGGAGCTAGCACGTGTACTTCCTGCTGCCAGAACTATGGAAGGTATTTCCCACAGGACGGCATTCTACAGTCAAGTGATCACGACAAAACAATATATAGCGCCGAAAGAGTGGGATATTCTCCGCATGAGGGTGAGCAAGTCGTGTCTCCCTTTAACCTACGGTCGAGGGGAAGAACCTCCCCTTGCACTCTCGGCTTGCCGATTATTCCACTGCAAGACATGACGATGCACCCGCTAAGGGAAAATGATAGAGATGTTTTTAGCATGATGGGTGGGGGTATGATCGAGCCCCGCGACAGCAAGTGCACTGCTCCGACTTCAGAAAATCTTTGAACGGATACCAAGGCCATACCGAATGGTTCGACGCATTTACCTTTGGCTGCATCGTGCTGACCTTGAGGACGCTTGCGTCGGAAACAGAAAAGACCTGAGGTATGGTGAGGAAACCCATCGAACAAAGCAGCGATCAAAGCGGCCTGTTACTCGGTACGCCACCTACACAAGCAAAAAGTGTTGTACATATGTGCTCCACGTATCTCACCTGACCGCCTACACAACCACCAGCACCAGGAGGCGTCACGAAGTCAGAGGGTCGGCCTAAACACAAGGTCAGCCATGCAGGGCGGAAGCTTTCATCACCGCTGTGATCAAACGGAATTTACGGTAACAACGGCACACAAACCTAAGTTGCCGGCGCACGCGCTTGACACGCCCCCTCTGCGAGCCACTCCACGTGATAGAAACTTCGTGTTCCAGTTCTCAGAAGCCAAAGAGGGGTGCGCATTCCGCCTTCCCATCAACTGCAGTTGTTTTCGCCTTCGGACTCACCCCCCCCCGCCCGCAAAAAACGGCCGAAGTGTAGACATAACGTTCGATGTTAATGCTGAATAAGGTCCGGGGGGGATCGTAATCCCACAACTCAAACAATCCCCCGTCCTTGTAGAGGTTTTGCTTAGCGGGGCCTGAATCTCTTTCGGGGCGTAGTATTATAATAATGAAATCGACGAAGGCGCAAGGCAAGTTATTCATCTGAGAACCACTTGCTCGTGGGTGTTGGAAAAGACATTCCGCTACGGGTAAAGAGGCATAGAACTCCGGAAATCGATTGCCTAACAAGCATGCAGCGGGGGGAGGTGTACACGAGAACCATTCTCAGCCTTCCCCTTCGGACGTCCCCCCCCCTGACATACTTTCCGATCCTCTGGCAAACACTCTCCCCCGCCCGGCCATAACCAAACAAAGAACACGGCAAGATCGCTCGACGCCCGCGGAAAATGAAGCAGCATGCGGGAAAAAACGGCAATTTAATTCTTCCCAGTGGTGCACGAAACCACCCACGTAAGGTCTACATTGACCTAGCCTGCTACATGTGGCACTCACAGAGTCCGAGGAGTAGAAGGAGGAAAGTTCCCCCGCCTGCGATGGCCCCGATCTCCCACTGGGCAAGTGATTCTGTCCCGGCCGCCGCCGTTGTTGGGGCTGGGGTCGATATGGACCCACGACCAACCGGAGACGGAGTGGTCGAGGGAGGCTGGTTGCCGGCCAGGGGGGCCGTTGTTGGGTCACCCGAGCCCGAGGGTAGGGCGATGGGAGAAGGAGTTGGCACAGCCAGGGGGGCGAGTGTTGCTTCGATCGGGGCAAGCGAAGAGGACAGGGGCGAAAACGTTGTCTGCAGAGAAGAAGGAGCTGGAGTAGACGCAGACCCAGGCGCGAACTTGATCGCCACGAACTCATCTGCGCCCGTGTCCGTCCAGGATCCCCCCAAGATTAAGCCCCCAACAGCATCAAACCCAACGAACGAAAGATAGTCGTCATCAGTGGTACCATCCTGGTAGCGTCCTATTTCGTCTCCAGTGTCTCCATCTAGCACCACCGCGGCGAAGTCATAGCCGCCTTGAGCTGCACCTGTCAACCACGTCCCTTCCGTCCAGCCAGCACCCACAACCCACCCTGTTGTGGGGTCCACGGCTACCCCAAAGAACCCAGCTCTTGACGTGGCTACGCCCTCGTAGGTCCACACGACATCGCCTGTTGCCCCGTCTAGCTTCAGCACCACCGGAGTCTCTGCTAGGTCGCCTTCTAGATTTAGAGCATCGTAGCCGCCAGCAAGATACACATCGTCCTGGGTGTCGACGTCGACCGACTCGGGAACGTCATGAGTGAAAGATGTAACAGGTGAATATTCCCAGAGAATGCTTCCATCGATACCGCTGAACTTCACCACGACAACATTGATGGCGTCTTCGTCTCCGCCGATGCCTATAGCGACCAGATCTCCGGCCGAGTCCACCTTCACATCGACAAAAAAATCATAGCTCGTCGACTCTCCGCCTTGCACTGTCCAGATCTCGCTGCCGTCCGTCCCGTCTAGCTTGATGACGAAGAAATCAGAATCTCCAGCGTCACCCTCGCCGAAGACCAGGCTGCCCCAGGTTTGCCCAACCAAGAAACAGTTATCGTCGCCGTCGACAGCCACACCTGTCACACTGCCGGAACCGTAGTAAAAATAACTTCCCAAAGACGTGTACGTGTCCGGAGGGTGTTCTTGGTACCTCCATATCTCATCCCCCGTGCTGCCGTCAAGTTTCACGGCCGCAAGATGTGCGACGCTGTCGGGGTTAGACGATGACCAGTACCCCTCTGTTCTGCCCCCCATGACGACGTCGTCGTTGCTGTCGGTGTCACCTGCCAGAAACAGATCTGCTGCGCTCCCCAAAGAGGAGTCGGTCCAAGTCCACAGCAAATCGCCTGATGCGCCGTCCAACTTGACGGCCGCGAAATCTCCGGAATAGGCGTCTTCGAAAGTATCATCGAGAAGGTCTTCTGCGGCAGCGTAGCCTTGTGTCCCCACGAGAACAACATTGCCATCCGAGTCGACCGCGCCATGAGTGAGAGTCTCATCAGAAGTTGTCCACCCGTCCCAGCGCCACACCTCGTCAAAACCAGGCACAACGCCCGACATCACCACCACAGCGTTTCGAAAGCTTAACCTTGCGTGGATGTGCAAAACGGGACGTGACAAATACGAGTGTCGGCAGTGCCGAAATTGTTTGCCACAGAACTGCTGTCTAGACTGCGATGCAAGCATAAACGTGTGCAACATGGCGTAAACATCGACACTTTCTGGCATAAGGAGCGTACTAGAGGTCACAACAAACGATAATGTCCTTGAGTGTTTTCGAAGCATATCCCACCCGCGTTGCTTTGAAACATCCTCAACACACCTCTTGGAGAGCATTGTTGGAAGGCGGTGCAATTTCTTGATTTGCGTGGTCTCAACATAAGGCCAACGACGTGACTTTAAAACGAAGGTTCAAGTACCTCGACGAGGAAAATGAAGGGCGGATGCACGTGCAGTCAATCCTAGGCAAGAACATGCAACTTTCTGGCGAAATAAAGGACAACACTTTCAACGGGAATGAGACATTTGGGCGAAATGCCTCGAAGTCAGGCCGTACTCTGACTTTTCTTTTGGTGCTTCGTGTCGGATTGCATGCGAACTAACATAGCAAGACGATCACAACCATGTCATCTTGCCTAAACCATCGGCGAGATGTCACTCGCGAAAAAATGGCCCGATGGGGAAACTCCGTAACCAACGCCTTTCATTTCTCAAGTAGTCTACAGGGTCTGCTGACCACGACGATACTTTCGGGCACACGAAAACCGCTAAATTATAACAGTCAAAGTGCCACAGAGCAGCAGGAGCTTTTCCCGGCCATTTGAATCATGTCGCGCTGCTGCTGCGCTTGCCCGTCAAGAGTAAAGCGGGCATTTCAGGGCGGCGCCGCTTCACCAAACAAAGGAGGACACAAATAAATATGAAAACCGTACGTATGAATACGCGACTCAAGAGACATCATCCTGGATTGATTTTCAAAGCTCCATTTCTCCACAGCAAAAAGAGGATGATACAGAAACTGCCGGCGTTGGAACCGTCTCGTCGAACACTTTCCCAAAACGTATCGTTTGGATTAGATCTTCTCCGTGGTGGAGTTGTCGAGCTTTGAAAATCGGCCCAGGGGATGTGATATCTTGTGTAACTGCAGCCCCAGCAAGCTATTGTTCCGTTCCAACGATCCATTGTAGTTTCTCCGGGTCGATGTCCGCAAAGACCCCGTGTCTGTAGAGATCATACCTCACTACTGTCTGTTGTCATCAATGATGTTTGCTGCAAGATATCAGGGAACACAGCACAACGTGTGTTGAAGTCGGACGATGCGCAGGAGAGAGAATCTTTGGAGAAGGCAGTATTTGTACGGTAGCAGATAGTCTACTGCTGTACACTCCTCATCTAATACGTGTAGTCTACAGAAATACAGCATCGATTGGTAGGAACAGCAGTAGTAGACTAGATCTTCTGCTGTGTAGCGCGCAATACACTCCAGCACCAGAGCGCCGCCTACCAAACATTCCTCGTGCATGTCCCTCTGAATGTGTTTCTCTCCGACAAAGGGCTCCTAGATTCCGAACAAGGACCTAAGGACCTAAGCTTAGTCTAGACTTCGACGCGAGGACCATTCTTCTTGGGTTCCCATGACCCATGACCCACCACTAAATATATGACGTTTTTCTTCAACCAACGACTCAATCTCATGGTCATACCATCACACGTTTTGGTTTGGTGGGGTTTGGTGGCTGGTTTGTGTGGAATAAACGCGCATGCATCAAAGACAAATGAGCTTGTTTTTGGCTTCCCCCGCCTCTCATGGCTGTGCCGGACTCTGTAGTGGTGGGTGTGGAACACAGAGAGAGACAGAGGCAGTAGGCGCACAGCGGCACCGAGAACAGAACATATTGCGGCGGTGGTGGTGAGCAAACCACCTCTTCGACGGAAAATAAACGTGACTGCTACGCTTCCGAGAGGTGCTCTGTCAGAGCCATGCTTCGCAATAAACTCACCCCGGCTCGCCTCTTGTATGCTTTCGCTGCTCCCCAGTATCACAAGGGCCGTTTCTCTCGCGCGGGTATGTGCAGCTGTGCACTCGTACTCGGTAGATAAAACTGCCCGTATGAAGATTGAATTTTTTATTCACGCAATTACAGTATTACAGTATGTAGTAGAAGTATAAACCCAACGGATCTAAGATACATGTACATAGGAAGGTTTGTTCGTCGAAGCAGATAGAATAAACTGGTGTTTATTTTGTAACAGTCGAATTAGAATTTGGCTTCATTTTCTACCGGAAACCCAGGGTCACGGTGTTTGGAATTATTAGTCTATAGTTGGGGGTGTCATTCCGTGATCGAGTCCACGCAGGGGCTGTAGCAAAGTCGGGTAACGTGTGACAGCTACAGAGCGCGTGAAGCAACGGAAGGACAGCAGCAGCCGCCTAACGCAGTAGCGGCGGCAGTTTAGAAAAGGGCGGGACGGGACACGGCGCAAGCATTGGGGAAGTGACCAGCACGCGACTCTCCATATAAAGGTGTGTACTCGTGTCCAACATTCATCGTGTCGGCCGTGTTCCTATTCGCGTCCCGCTACTCTTGTGACCTCACCGCTGCGTGCATTTAGCACGAGGGGGGAGGGTGCAGTAAGATAAGCGGCGGCAAGCCAACGCAGTCTCGCTCGCCGCGCCGCTCAGATAGGTCCCTTCCCAAACATGGGATGCGGTTCATCCCAACCGAGACGTACTCTCGCTGAAGAAAAAAAATGCGGTTCGTCCCAACCAGACGTACTCTCTCTGAAGAAAAAATTCAACGGCAAAAAGAAAGAGCGGGGCCTGTTGTATGGTCGCACGCTGACTTGTCGCGGTTGATAGCAGCCATTGTACTGCACGGGGTGGAGGAACCCTGCGGCATCGGACATAACCAATCGACCCGCGGCAGTAGGGCATGATGCTGTCACGATTATGCACATGAGGCAGGTGCCTTGTTTTCTGTTTCCCCCGGCTTACTAGGGACTACTTGCCGGTACAATCTTGTCTGTGCCGCGCACAGAGGGGCATATAGCTGAAGGAATCGACGATAATATGCCCACTCACGTAAGCAATCGTCTCCACGGATGGTATTGACAAGTCCCCACTGATGGTATCGACAAGTCCCATGGCATACAAAGCGGCCGCATACGTAATCGGAAAGTGCATTCAACAGCATTCACGGGAACGGATAAAAGCAAAAACACATGCATGCGAGAGAAAGACTCAAAGAAAAAGACTGAAAAACAATGAAGACGAGAAAAAAAAAAAACGAGACAGCGAACTACGTGCTGTATGCATAAGGAAAAAGAAGATGAGAAAAAAATAGGGGGGGGAGGTGGATGTGACACGCGAGGTTCGAACTCGCGAGGAACGTCAGGTAGCGGTCCATGTGAGTGCATCACGGTCTCGAGGGGCATCACGTCAAATTTATTGCCGCCGTGACACAAACCTTCTATAAGAATACGTCACGTCCATCGACGATTAAGCGACCAAAAACGCCCGGACAGCAATTGATGCATGCCAAAAACTCGTCAACCTGCCGTAGGATTGTCTATGCGGAAGTGATCTCCAATGAAAATAAAAAAAAAACAAGGACACGCACCAGCACGGGACGCGCCAATAGTGGAAGCACTCGTCCGTGCTGTTGGCGAGTGGAAGTTAACCGATCTCAACGCAACGAAACACGAAGTCATACATGTATCAGCACGGGATGCGCCAATGAGTGGAAGCACCCGCGCTGTTGGCGAGTAGAGTTAACCGAATTCAACGCAGCGGTAGAAAAATACCACAAATCATGCATACAGTACGGGACGCGCCAATGAGTGGAAGCACCCGTGCTGCATATGTGATGTCAGCCTCAGCACGGGACGCGCCAATGAGTGGAAGCACTCGTGCGGTTGGTGAGTAGAGTTAACCGATCTCAAAAAGAAAGAACAAAACGCCGTACATGTATCAGCACGGGACGCGCCAATGAGTGGAAGCACCCGCGCTGTTGGCGAGTAGAGTTAACCGAATTCAACGCAGCGGTAGGAAAATACCACAAATCATGCATCAGTACGGGACGCGCCAATGAGTGGAAGCACCCGTGCTGCATATGTGATGTCAGCCTCAGCACGGGACGCGCCAATGAGTGGAAGCACTCGTGCTGTTGGCGAGTAGAGTTAACCGATCTCAAAAAGAAAGAACAAAACGCCGTACATGTATCAGCACGGGACGCGCCAATGAGTGGAAGCACCCGCGCTGTTGGCGAGTAGAGTTAACCGAATTCAACGCAGCGGTAGGAAATACCACAAATCATGCATCAGTACGGGACGCGCCAATGAGTGGAAGCACCCCGTGCTGCATATGTGTTGTCAGCCTCAGCACGGGACGCGCCAACGAGTGGAAGCACTCGTGCTGTTGGCGAGTAGAGTTAACCGATCTCAAAAAGAAAGAACAAAACGCCGTACACGTATCAGCACGGGACGCACCAATGAGTGGAAGCACCCGCGCTGTTGGCGAGTAGAGTTAACCGAATTCAAACGCAGCGGTAGGAAATACCACAAATCATGCATCAGTACGGGACGCGCCAATGAGTGGAAGCACCCGTGCTGTATATGTGTTGTCAGCCTCAGCACGGGACGCGCCAACGAGTGGAAGCACTCGTGCTGTTGGCGAGTAGAGTTAACCGATCTCAAAAAGAAAGAACAAAACGCCGTACACGTATTAGCACGGGACGCGCCAATGAGTGGACGCACCCGTGCTGTTGGCGAGTAGAGTTAACCGAATTCAACGCATCGAAAACGAAGTCGTACACGTATCAGTACGGGACGCGCCAATGAGTGGAAGCACCCGTGCTGCATATGTGTTGTCAGTTTCAGCAAGGGACGCGCCAATGAGTGCTGTTGGCGAGTAGAGTTAACCGATCTCAAAAAGAAAGAACAAAAACGCCGTACACGTATCAGTACGGGACGCGCCAATGAGTGGGCGCACCCGTGCTGTTGGGCGAGTAGAATTAACCGATCTCCACGCATCGAAAACGAAGTCATACACGTATCAGTACGGGACGCGCCAATGAGTGGAAGCACCCGTGCTCATATGTGTTGTCAGTTTCAGCAAGGGACGCGCCAATGAGTGGAAGCACCCGCGCTGCGTACAAGTATCATCAGTGCGGGTCGCGCCAATGAGTGGAAAGCACCCGTGCTGCATATGTGTTGTCAGTTTCAGCGAGGGACGCGCCAATGAGTGGAAGCACCCGCGCTGTTGGCAAGTGGAGTTCACCGTATCCAACGCATCGAAAAAAAAAAAAAAAACACGTATCAGCACGGGACGCGCCAATGAGTGGAAGCACCCGTGCCGATGGCGAACCGGGGTTCACCGAATCCAAGAAAATATATATATAAAAAAAAAAAAAAGAGAAACCATCGCTAGTGTTCCAAAGAGAGAAATATTCGGGATTGGTCGACGTCCGGTGACCGTAGCGTCAGCAGCAATAATCACTCCATTCAATCCACAGGCGTCGAGAATGAACTAACGCGAGCTCGCGATATAACAACGCGTCGTTCTGGGCCCGACGAAAACCCACGTCAGATAGTTTCGCCCGAAGATAGGATTTGTAGACCATTCTAACTGCAGATCCAGGCGCGCGATCGACTACGCCCACGATGAAGAGGAAAAGAAGTGTTCCCGCAACGCCGCCCTGACGCTCGCCCGCCGCCTGCCGCCGGTCCGCTGCTTATACGACTCCAACCGCGACCAGATGCCGACACGGGCCTCACACGCGGAGCGGCAGGGCAGCGGCTGGGCAAGCAGGGCGAGGTCGGGCGGCGACACC